GATATTTGACATGGTGGTGATCGGTCATAGGTTGGACTCGATGATCTGAGATCTTTTCCGACCTAATAAACTCTGTCGCTGTGCTGCCTGCAGGCTCCCTTCTCTGGAAGAGCCAGTGTTGCAGCGTGTTGGATTATGGTGAAGCAGCCCTGGCAATTCCATGCTTTGCTAGGACTGTGTTGCAAGTGTCTGTGTTGAAAGGAAATGGTTCTTCTGAGGAAATAAACTTTATGTGGGGAGAGGGTGGGCATTTGCTTTCCTAGCTTATGAGCTTGGAGAGGACCACGGGTGTGATTGTCACTTCTCACTCAGCAGCGCTGCTTGGGCCTGCTGTCTTCCAGCAGCCAGCGGAGCAACAGAGCTTCCAAAGGTAACCTGCCGGCTCCAAATCATTACCCTGCTCCCAAAATAAACCTTTCCAGTGTGATGTGATGGCTTGGTTGCAAAATACATTAGTGGCTCTCCTGAGGAGCCCAGCAGGTTTGCGTTTGTTATCCCAGAGCAGAGCCCAGCCCAGCGCCCCTCGCTCTGCAGATCTGTGTTCAGTGGCACCCCTTGGAGCTGACTGGGCTGGGATCTCAGCTACCATATCCTGATAGAGCAGCTCGTGTGTGGATCCACTCACTCCTGTGAAGCTCAAAGCCTGTCTCCCAGAGAGATCTGAGCTCTGCAAAAGCTCTGCCTTGTTAAAGATAAGCTCACATGCTAAATTCAGCCAGGAATTGTCTTGGAGATGCGAGTGGAGCATGCGTGTGGAACACGGAGCTCCTGCCAGCCGCACCGCTGGACTGGAGGGTTGTGGTTCTGCTCTAGTTTGTGATGCGGAGTTACATCCTGCTGTCTCCTGGGGAGTTGGGGCATGGCCCCTGGAAGCAGTGCTCCAGGACTTTAAGGATTTACTGTATGTTTTCCTTTTGCTTCTCAGCCTCCTCCAGTGGTTTGAAACTGCACCGAGCCGGACATGCCCACAGTGCAGAAACCAGGTAAAGCCATCCCCTGTACACACCTGTGCCACAGTGCACTGCAATGGCAGCAAGGAGCTGTGGCCTGGGGTGATGGTGGAAAAAAGGTTCACGATAAAATGCAGAGGGACTTTCTGTCATTTGGGACTCTGCAGAGGCTGAGAGGATGAACTCCCCTCCACAGCTCTTCTGGTTGCAGTGGGCTGAGAGTGCCCTGCCACTGTCTGCACTGCAGCTCCTTTCAAAAGGAGCTCTGGGTTTTCACTTAGGCTGGGTAAGTATTGGTATGAGCACATGAGGGGCTGCAGGGGCTTCACGGGGACACCTGACTGGTGTTTCTGGCATGCCCAGCCCACTGCTGTCAGGTGAACAGCCCATTCTGCTGCACGTGGGCCGTACGACCCCTCCTGGCTTAGCAGTTTTCAACCCTTCCTTGAGAAAAGCGATGACTGAGGAGAGAAGGAAGGATGTGCTCTGCTTCTGAGATAGGAAGCTGAGGCTTGGGTTTCCATTGGCTTAACTGACATCTGAACTTGTTTGAAGTCTCTTTTGTCACCAGACTTCATGGTGCTTGTAGGTCTTGGCATGTAGTGGCTGCAGGAGATGTTTCCTTACTCTCAGATGTAAATTTTTAGCCAGCTGCTGCTTGGGCTTATTCTGTGTTTGTGCTTCTTTCCTCTCTCAAGGTCTTGGCCCTTGTTCCTTCCCTGACTTGTTGATTCCCTCTGTTCTTCTCTGCCTCTTACATCTCTGGGTTACCATGGAGTTATCGCGAAATAACATCTTATGTGGCAGTAACCATGCAATTAGCTGGTGTCATGACTGTATATAATACTTAAAACACAAAGCTGTAACTGCATGGGGGAGGTGTGGAGAGCTATCAAATTCAATTACAGCACCTTCTGCCTGCAGAAAGCAGCACGTACTTCTGTCTTAGGATTTGGCATCATGTTAGCTCAGCATCAGCTGCTTGGGGCTGAGCTGCCAGAGAACAGACTGCGCTCGATTCAGAAATGTCTGAATCTTTCTGCTGCAGCTCAGGAGCTTGGCTGGAGTCGCACTCCCAGAAACTGAGTGGGGGGTCTGCTGCTGTGCTGTTGAGCCAAAGCAGAGCATCACCACTAATGGTGTCAAACACGTGATCTGATTTGCCTTTCATGGCCTTGTCACAAGACAGTACCTTCTCCCCCTCCATCTGTCTTCCATATCCGTTGTTTCCATATTTGTGCCCATCAAACTCTTCTGTCTCTTGTGTTTAGGTCAGCAAAAGACACATCATCAATAAGCTGTTTTTTGATGTTACCCTGGAGGAGGAAGCAGCACCGGATGCTGAGAGCTTGCAGGTAACTTGACAGGGGGTTCTTTCCTCATGTGATGCTTCAGCCTTCTGGAAGGGTGGCCTGGCCTGCTGGTCCTCTGCCAGCAGGTGCTTCCCAAGCTGGAGCTTGCTGTGCTCATGTTTCTGACCTGAAGCATATCAGTCTCTGTGGTGGTTTAGCATTCCCCTGACCAAATCCCGTGTGGTGACTCAAGGAGCCTCCTGTACTTCCTGCTCTTCCTTCTGCTTCTCACTTTACCTGGAAACCTCCTGAAACAGCATCATATAGGACTGCTGTTCCTCCCTTGGGAATGAGGCTACAGAGCTGTTCCCAAAGGCAGGAGAAGGGAAATCCCAGATGCAGTGAATTGCTGCTGGTATCTGTGGCTCAGCTGTGTGTGAGCCCTGCTAACCCCTCTGGAATGAAGAGCCCATTGGAAGAAGTGCCTCCTTCTCCTCCCTTCTGTGCAGGGAGGTTGTTTGTGCAGATTGAAGGATGTGGGGCAGGGTGATGATAAAGTCATGATTCCCCAAGAGAGATTAGGAGAGAGATTGCCTGAAGCCACACTAGCAGCAGTCAACAATGTGGAGGCTGGGTCCTGGCAGGATCCTGGCTGGCGCTGGGATGCTAGGTGGTGTGCTCCAAGTGCCACCTTTGGGTGTGGAGAGTTGAGTCTGAGTAGAGATGAACACAGAGTGGCTGTTCCATGTTCTCTTTTGTGTAGTGTGAATGAAACGGGGTTCCTTCTGTCTTGGAATTATCTGTTCCAAAAAAAGGGTGTCTGGTTGACCTTGGTATAATGGGATGCTTGTACCCTCTTGTGTTTAGAAGCAGCATGTGCAGCAATTACCATAATTAGCAGTTGCCATGACAATTCTATATGTACTTTGTATGTCTTTAAAATAAAGCCAGCCAGACTAGAATGTCAGTAGCACTGTCTTTCTCCAAGACTTCCACTAATAAAACTGAAGGCCAAAGTGTGCTGAGGAATGGAGGAGCATCTCTGGGCACTGGGAGCCGTGTGCCCTCACAGCAGATGAACATTTCCTTTCGTACATACTGAGATCCATTCTCATGAGTGTAATGAGATGAGTGACTTGGAAATGGGTTGCCTGGAGAGAATCGCCCTAGAAAATCTTCCTGTTCTCTCTCACCGCCACCCCAGGATCCAAAATGGATTTCCCCAGCATTCTGCTCCAGGCAGACTGTGCAGAACTGCTCCCTTGCTCAAGGGTAGGACTGTGGAGCTGCTCCTGTACAACAATCCCTCTCGTTCTTGTAAGTCTTGTGTGTGTCTGTCAGAGCAACACCTATCCTCAATGTACAGCCTGCTTAATGAGGGCTCTGAGGTCACCAATGGAAGGAACCAAATACTTTTTTGATTAAATCAGCATCATCAGCTTGTGTAGGTATTCACTGCTGTGTGTGCTGTACAAATTGCTGCTGTGCTTGTCACCAATTTCATCTGTGCTGCCTCACTTTTGGAGGACATGGAGTATCTTAAGAACATAGATGCCTTGTTCACAATGAGTGAGGGATTAATGTCCACCTGGATGTGAGGTCTCTCTGTGTCTGATTCTGGCCAGACAGCAGTTCAAAGCAGACACATGGTGGGCCGAGCCCGGGCTCTTCAGAGAGTAAGAATTTCTGGCATCCTCAGCTGGAAGCAATTTCACCTGAAAATAAAAACAAAAATTTCCAAGGTTTGTAATGAACCACTGCCTGGCCCTCTAAGAGCCTGGGCATAAAGTGGTGTTCATCTCTGTAATCAACTGGAGCTGTATCTGTGCAGCCCACAGCTGTCTTGGAATGAGCATTTGGCCTCCTGCCACAAAAAGGGTATGCTAGAAAGCAAAGTGTGGAGCTTGTCATCTTGAGGAGACAAGCTTGGGATTCTCGTTGGAGAGTCAGTCTTTGGCACCCGGTGAAGTGGTCAGAAGAGCTCCCTCATGATCTGAAACCCCTTCCTGTTGTTGCAGAATTAGCCAAATTATCTTTTGAACAGTAATTGTCTTTGTTACTGTTCCTCACTCTTGCTATTAGTCTGAAATGTTTACAGTCAAAAGAGTGCTGGGGCTGCTTCGCTTTCCACCTCCAGGCTAAAACTTCAATAGAAACACCAGAGGGAACCTGGATCCCTGGAGCTGCAGACCACTGTCTTAAATGTCCAAGCATTTATTCCATTACTGAAACTGGGTTTAGCCTATATTGAATTTAAAGATCATCCTTGTGAGCAGAACAGTCTCCATGTGGCTGCTTCCAGAGGAGGAAAAGGGTGAGTTTTGGAGTGTAACACCTCAATGAGTCTGTCAAGAGCTGCTTGTGATCTAGAGGGTACAGACTTCTTCCAAATGAGATTTCAGCTTGGTGAAGAGGAGGTGGGGGGAGGATTCCTGCCTGTAAACCTGCTGGGGAAGGTAGAAGCCTTGGAGGACAGCTGTCTGTTTGTGGTCAGGATATACTCGTTTTATCTTGGGAAAATGTGGTCTTGTAACTCAGTCTTGCAGAGAGAGGAGAGCTTCTCTCAGAGGAGAGCAAATTGGGAGCAGCTTTTAGGAGTTGTGGTGGAGGATGAGGGATTTCAGATTAAGTTGATGAATGAGGTGATGTTACATGGCTGCCTGAAGTAGCCCAGGGTTTCTTTGCTATCATGATAATTAGCACATCTTGTGAGCTCACTAATCGTTCCTGAATAGGACTCTGAGGAAGCTACTTCAGAATAGTTCCTGCAGCAGAGTTAATTCCGCATTAGCCCTCCAGCAGTCGTGCCCCTTGGGGCAAATCCCAGTCAGCTCTGCTAGGCTTTGCATTTAGTCCCTGCTGCTTACCAAGCTTTACATCCCACATTTTCTTTCCTGCCTTTATTGTCACTAGCAGAGCCCAGCTCCAGTCCCATCAGAGCCGTGGTCACTGCTGGTGCTATTCTTGGCTCAGATTTGCATGTAGCATTCCGGGTTGCACAGATTTGTGTGCCTGTGTTGGCATTTTATTGTGGTTTTATTCCACTGCAGCTCCTGCCTGACTTGTTATGCGCTTTCCTCTGCAGTTCTCTAACACTGCTTTTTAAGTCGTCTTCTGTTGACACTTTCCTGCATATATTTCTCTCTGGTTTTTATTTTAAATATACATATAGATATAAATAGCCTCCCTTTTTAACCTCTATATTTCCTTTGGCTATTCGCCAGTGTTAAGTTATATCACTTCATTTTCTTTAATTTAAACTACAGGGCATTTGCTGCCTCTCTCTGATCCTTGATAAAGGCACTAGAAATAGTTGATGTTGCTCAGACCCTTGTGGTACCCAGGAGACGTGCATTCTCATTTGGGGTGTTATGGATTGGTTTCTCAGTGATCTGTTTCCAGCCATTCGATTGAGCTGTTAGCTCGTATCAGCATCCTGAACTGCAGTGACTTCAGTGTCTGTCAGCATGTTTGAGTGCATGCTTGGTTACCTTTTCGGGTGCTTGGATGTGTCCTCCTGTCTCCCACCTGCATGTGATTGAAGTTCACTTCAGTTTAAAGAACTCTCAGTAATGCAGTTAGTCTGGCAACATCCCTCCCTTATTGCCTTGTTTAGGTAAAACATTATAAAAATTGTTCTTTCCTGACTTCCTGTGTTTCCCTGAGAGCCTTCCAAAATTATTCAGCTAAAACAGGATGACTGACAGTGTGAGAAACACAAGGTTGACAAGGCTAAGATGAAGCTGCGATCCTCTCTTCTCCCCCTGAAGAATGCCAGTTGGAGGTGCTCTTTCTATTCCCTGTGATAGTTCAGGCTTGCAACTCTGCTTCTTGTTTCCGTGTTCCCTCCTTAGTACCTGCCTGGTCCAAAAGTCCTGCTGGAGAAACCCCTTGGGTCTTTTTAAGATCTGGTGAAAGCATCTCTGCAGAGCGTTTCCTAATGGGGTTCTCTGTATTGTGTTTCAGAATGAACTGGACAAGGTGAAGGCACAGTTCTCCTTGAAAGGTGAGTTCCTGCTGTCTGCAGGGGATCAGCAGCTTCTGGGCTCTACCTGTTCCAGGTGGCTTGCCCGGGTCTGAGGAACGCCTGTGCAGAGGCCACCCCACTCTGAAGCCAAGGACATGGTTCAGGCTCCAAACTGTTTCTCTAGAGCAACTTCTTTGGAGCTTTTTCTGAGGCCAAAACACCTACAGTGATGCAAAGCTTATATGACGGAGCCCGAGTACAGCCTCGTCCAGCTCTGCTGTAACTCAGGAGTTCAGTTTAGACAAGTAGTAATTTTTTTGCCCACTTCCTAATCACAAGCTTACAGAATTGCAGCAAAGCTCTATCTGGAGCAGGCTTGAAAGCAAAAGCCTTGGTTTGCTTGCTGGGAAACTCACAGCTGCATATGGCAAAGGCTCGTTCCCTCCAACAGATGAGAGGGTGAAGGTGGTGTCCAAAAGCAGCAGTGGGAAGGCTTTGGATTTGTTTGGCTGTTGCAGTGCCACATGTGTCGTGCAAAGAGCAGACGGAGTTCAGTGTGCACGCACTTGCATCTTCCCATCTTTAAAATTAGAGGATGTTTGAGGGAGGCAGGAAAAGCAAAAGCCCTGGAGACTTGTCGATGGGTTTTAAGCATCGTCTGTAGGCAGCCTGTCATCAGAACATGAGTCATGAGCAGCAAAAGGAAAATGTCAGTCTAAGTGACAGAAATCCTAAAACATGCTAGCAGAAGGAGAAAAAAAAATGTTTAAAGAATGCTGGGGGCTCACCCACGCCCCAAGAGTTGTCTTTCCTCTGCGTTCCCTTCATGCACGAGACAGACATGAATAGCCAGTAGATTGAGGATTCAGTCCTTAGCCTGAGAGCAGAATTGGATGGTCTGCACGTCTCTATTCTGAGGCCTGTTCTCCTGCCAGCTTGGTTGAGTTTAGTGATTTGGTAGAGAGCCAGATCTTCTGGGGAAGGTGGCTGGGATTCTTGCTAGGATATTATCCAAGAAAAACTGCTTGAAGGCCTGCTAATCTTCTCAGCTTCTGGTGAGTAGAGGTTGGATTTGACATTCCCTGTCCCATTCTTTTTTCATATTGGGAATGCGAAGCTCCTTCCCACCTCCTGCCTCCTTTGCTGTGGGTACTCTGCTCTCTGCTGGTTCCTGTGTATAAGTTCTCCGTGTGAAGCTGTGCTCTGCTCTACACGCTGCAGAGGAGCTGTGGAGCTGCCAGGCTCTGATCAGCCTGCAAATGGCTCGAGAGGTGCCGAGCTCCGAGCAGACCCAGCAGGCTCCGTGGGAGGCTCGCTGAATGAGCTGAAAACTCATTCCTGCAGCATGGAGGGGTTTGATTCCTGCCATCTGCCTCTGGGCAGCTGAGAACGGAGGAGGGGGAAGCCCTAACTCTTTTGGTGGGTGTGGAGTCCCTGCAAATGCAAGGGAGCATCTCCAGGCACTGCCTCTGGTGGGAAGGGGTTATTCAGGTCAATGGAGAAGCCACCCTGCGTGCTTCTGCTGGAACACATTCCTCTCCTGTTCCTCAGTCCCACATGGCTGTTTTACTCCCTGATTGAAGAGTGAAGCTTCACTGCAGGTCACGCTTCCACAGGATATGGAGGCAGTATTTGAAACTGGATGGCTTGCAAAGAGAATAAGCTTTTTGGAATGGCACTCTTTGACTCTCTACTATTGCTAGGCTGGAGACACAGGCAGTTTTAGCAGAGACCAGAGATGCTGAGCTGAAAATTTTACTCTGCTCTCAGCAGGGTTAGGTGGAGGGGTTCCTGCTTTCCCTCATTACCCAACTGCTTTGAGCTTCTCAGCGGTGCTGGCTGTTCCCTGCATAGGTCGGGCAGCTTCTGTTGGTGGTTTTTTCTTTCTGAGCTGTCCTTCCATTGTCTCCACAAAACAAATTGAAATTTGGTGGTGTTTTCTACTGCCTTCTCTCTGGTGGTCAGAGGCATGTGCTTTGCTCCTGGATTTCCAGGGGGATGGATAGCAGTATGCAAAGGTTTTGTGACCTGCAAAAAGTGGGCACTTGGAAAATCTACTTAAGGTGTCATATCCTGTGGTGTTGCCAGTGTCACTGCCTCCTGCCCTTTGATGTAGGTGCTGTGGTTGGTGAGGGACGTGCAGCAGCTTGATGGACCCCTGCATACAGCTGCCCAATGGCCCCCAAAAGGGTTCATGACATGTAAGATTCTATGTGGAGAGGATGGATACAAAGCTCTGTTCTCCAGCTCTATGACAGCTTGGTGTAACTTGAGAGGAATTATTTCCTTGTGCAAGCTTGGCTTTGAGAAAATGCAAGAGTTAAGATACATCATCTTAATGCTAGCAGGGCTGGCACTGGAAAGCTATTAAAGGAAATTTTTTATCTTTAGTAAAGAAATCTTGAAGCCTGCTGGCACTGAGAGGAGCAATTGCTCAGTAAAGACCCTAGTGCAGACAGCACTTAGAGAAATGGCTCTCTCCAGGAATGGCCAAATCCTGGCAGCCTGGAGCTGAGCCTGCAAGCAATTTGTGTGCTGTTGCTGCTGGGCTGCAGCTGGAGTCTGGGTTACCAGGCCATGACCTTTTTCTTTCTTCTTTTCCAGAGAAAGAAAAGCGGGAATGCCAGACTGTTGTGGACAGGTTGAGGGAGACTCTGGATGTGCGCAATGCCACGATAGAGTCACTGCAGAAGATGCTGGGAGAGACAGAGATGCTGTGCTCTTCTCTCAAGGTACCCTTTCTATCCCCAGGAGGACTAACCATCATGCAGGCAGTGTTAGTTCTGTTGAAGATTTCTGCAGATCCTGCTAATCAAGAGATTATGCTGGTGGGATATTGGGTTTGGTGCCTGGGTTTTCATTTTGGTTTGATTAATTGAAGCAAGTGCTGTTGCTGGACTCGAGGTCCTGTTTCTGCTCTGCTCGAGGTGATTCAGAGGCATAAAAAGATTCCAGGCCTGTGGTTTGTGTACAGGTGCTCAAGGCAGAGGTATCCCTGGTGAGGGAAAAATGCCAGCCCAGCTTGAGGAATGTGGCTGAGCCTCGCTAATGAAGTCACAGTGCTGGTCATAAAGGTGGTAGCAGGAATCTAGTGTGGGAAGTAGCCCCAGCACCCTCAGGTTCCCCGAGGTAGCATGTTCTTCTGAAATGGGTTTAGGCCAAGTGGGATTCAAGGAAAATTAGTTTCTTACTTTGACTGGGGGAGAAATCAAACTGAAAAATATGGAGGGGGAGTTCAGCTGAGTGGGATCTGATCCAACTAACTCTGCTCTCTGTTCTGTTGCCAGGGCTTTGCCTCAGTTAGGTTAGTAATGTTGTGAAGTCCAGGGATCAAATATTCCTGTTGTGCTTCAGTGTGCAGTGACTCAGTGTGTAGTCATGTAGTATGAGTAAACAGCAAGAGGAAGAGGGTAAGAGCAGGAGCAGCTTTGTTGGGATGTGTTGGAGCAGCTTTGCCTTGGAGCAGGGCTGGGCAGTCTCTGCTGTGTGAAAGTGATGTGCCTGTCTCAAGAAGGTGGGGTGCAAGCAGGTAGGGTTGTGAGCTGCAGGCTGAAAAGTGGGATCGGTATCTACTGCACTTCCCAAGCTGTCTGACCCAGTATCCTAAATGGCATCATGTTTCTTGACCTACAAGGCCAAGTGGCCCAGAGAGGGCTTGTAGACATGTGGTGCTGTCTTGCTATATGCCACCTGCAGCTGGGTTCTTTTGGGAGGAAGCATCCAGGAGATCCACCTGACACTAGGACAGAAAGAAATTGTCAGGCAGGCCTCACTCTGACCCAGCACAACTGTTTTTGCCCAACCATGGGATTATATCCAATCTGCTTGCAAGGCAGCCTGGATCTTGGCTCTGCCATAGATGCTGGTGTGATCCTGGATAGGTCAGTGACAGGATACATCTGATATCCCCTACTCCAGCAGAAATAATTGTGACAGTGGAAGCCAGTACTTGCTGCTCAACTCAGCATCTCAGTGCTTGGTTTTTCTGCCTTGACACCTCTGGAGGAGGCTCTGTGCTTATCTTCCCTGTTGCAAAACCCTCTCTGTGTGCTTAAGTCCCTTCAATGAAAGCTGGGCAGGGCAGAAGGATTAGGGACCTGGCAGTATCTTTTCTGTGGTGTATAGGGTTTCTCAGCTGAATGCCAAGCGCTGTCTTGAACTGCATCATTAAAGATTAAAGCACGAAACTTCTGCAGTGAAAATACAGGCTTAACTTGCTGTGATGCAGGTTAAGGCTGTGAGCTGGTCCTGTCTTCTGCTGGCACTGTCAGTTTGCTGCAGTTTCAGGCTGGTTGAAGCTGGGGACTCTGCTCTGACCGGGCACAAAACACTGCTGTGGGGATCTGAAGTACTGAGAGTTCTGGTTAGGGAAAAGCCAAAGACAGGCCCCACTTAAACAAGAGTGACAAATGAGCCTGCAACACTGTCCCTCCTCAACTTCCCAGTGGTTTCACAGCTGTTTGGTTTCTGTGGCAGGAGGTGGATAAAATCCTTTAACTTCTGTGTGGGAAGGAGCTTTACAAGGCAATGATCTTTTGCCAGGCCTTTTCCTGGAATCAGCACTGTGTTGAAACCAGCGCCTTTCAAAGCTGCTGTGCAAGGTGCCCAGGCACACACAGACCTAGACAGTACAGATGCATCCAAATGATGCTAATTCAGCTGTCCCCATCCTCTGCCACACTGCAGATGTGTGTTTTTCCAGCTTAGCTGAGGTGTTGTGTTACTGCTGGAGAGGCAGTAGGCTGCAATAGGCTTGCAGCAGGTGAGAGAAGGGCCTAGGTGGATGTCTGGTTTGGCTGAGGTCTCCCAGAAGAGACACACTCATTCCTATCTGTGCTCTAAGCAGCTAATGGCAAGGACAGTTGGGAGGCTAAAACAATCAGCTGTGCATGGAGGGGAAGGCAATATCAAGGTTTGCTTGCTGTGGACTCCTTTGCCTTTGAAAAGCAAATTGTCACTGCTGCGTACAGGGCACTGTGCATCCCTTCCAGCACTCCTAGCTGAGAGGGACTATGACATGGTTTCAGTTCCAGCCTCACCTTGCGATTAGCACTGAGACTCTGCTGTGCTTGTTGGGAGCAGAGCTGGGGTTGCAGTGGGAGGGAGCTCAACTCTCCATAATCCCGGGCTGCTGAGGTGATGATAGCCTTTAGAGCTGATGTATGCTCCTAACTGCCTGCAGTGTGCATAAGCCGGGATGTTTCTCCAGGAATCCCTGGAGCCTTACTACTGGTCTGTGTGTGCTTGCTTCCCTGCAGAAGCAGATGAAATTCCTGGAGCAGCAGCAGGAGGATAACAGAAGTTCAAAGGAGGAGGCCCACCGGCTGCGAAACAAGCTGAGATCCATGGAGCGGTGAGATCCGGGTGCTCCCTAGGCCTTCCAGCTTGGGCTGCACACCTCTGCCCTTTTTGGGGAAGGCAGGAGGCTCCTGCTGGGCCTGCTGCAACACCCATCTCCATATGCTGGATCATCTTACCTGTAAAGGTTTGAAACAGCTGCTTCAGCTGCCCTTGCATGCCTCTTGCCCCTGCTATGTTTGCAAACAGCTGCTCTCACTGAAGAGCAGCAAGGCAGTGTACTAGCCTCATCTCTAGTGCACTGAGCATGGCTGTGTGTTGTTTCAGTTATCAGAGGATGCTGATAACGTCCAGAATGATGCAGAATGCCAGCCCAGGAACACAGTTAGCCACAGGGCTATAGGGACCAAGAGCTGGGCATCAGTTCCATATGTAGTATGTGTGTACAGCTGCCCCTTCTCTAGTCCAAGTGGTGCTGCTTTTCCCTAGTGAAAAACCCTGCTTGAGTTGAGGCAGCTGTATCTCTTCTCCCATGACACCCAGAATGCCTGCAGCAGAAGCTCAGGCTGCACCAGTCCCTTGAGGGGGAAGCAGGGCTTTTGTCTCTTTCCCAGGTCTGTTTGTGATCCATAAGCTGAGCTGGTTTTGTTTTTGGGGTTTTTTTTGTGCAGGATCGAGCTGTTGCTTCAGAGCCAGCGCCCGGAAGTGGAGGAGATGATCAGAGAGATGGGAGTCGGGCAGGCAGCAGTGGAGCAGCTTGCAGTCTACTGTGTCTCCCTCAAAAAGTAGGTGCTGCAGGCTTGCCACAGCTGGCTGGTGCTGTCCTGGGGGTGCCCAGGGAGAGCCCTCTGCCAAGCACCTACAGGCACACGGGCTCTGTGGGGCTCTCACCGCCTCTTAGGGTTTCCACTGGGTTTTGACTGACAGATCCTGGGGACCTAGTTTGGAGCCTGTCACGCTGAACTGTTCCTCTTGTCACTGTAGTGACATGTGTGTCACCATGGGAACTGTCTCCAGAGTTGTCAGTGCACCTATGAAGTGATGATGATTATTCCCTCTGCTTCCCTCTCATGCCTGGGGGAAAGCGAGTGGATGCAGAGCTCTGGGTTGTGCCCTCTGCAGCACTGCACTGTGCAGCTGTGGCCTCTGGCAAAGCAAGCCTGCACTGCTGCCCTCTCCTACCTGAATATCCATCTGGTCCTGCTGGGGGAAAAATACAGCTTTTTTTTTTTTTTTTGGTGTTCATTCTGATGGCAGCTGAATAACTGCAGCTTTGGTACAAAGCTGTAATGAGGCAAGTGTCCCTGTGGTGTAATTGGGAATGAATGTGCATGGCCAGTAGTGTCAAGTCTCTGAAAAGTCACTTAAAGCAAAGTCCCCTGTTTGCTGCCAGCATGGAGGCTGTGCTCTGATTTCTGTCTTTTTCACTGGAAACTGAAATGTCTCTGGCTCTGGTTCCCATTTTGCTGGTGGAATCAGGCATGGTATCCCATGCAGGTTTTTTCTCTCGCATGGTGTAGTGGAATGTGTGACACAGTGTTGGTACTCTCACTCATCTTTGTTCCTTAAAGGGTATTGTGTCTCCTGGGTTTTCACTGGTGACTCTGCCAGTCCAGAGCTTCAATTTAAGGATCTTGGCTTGTCTCTGAGAAGTTCTGGCTCAGCTGTCTTACAAACAGTATGACTCTGGGTCTCTTTGCAGGGAATATGAGAACTTGAAGGAGGCTCGGAAGATCTCTGGTGAGATGACAGAGAAGCTGAAGAAGGAGCTGTTTTCTGTCAATAATAAGGTAAAGGTAGAGTGTGAGCTGCCAGGGTGAGATCTGGTCTATAGATCTCTGTCCATGACTGAGGCCCAAGGCCTCTGCAGTGACCCCCTCCCACGGTGGTAGGTACAGGTGTTTGGAAGGGTCAGGCTGGGGTTCTGAGCCAGGATGTGACATGATGAGCAAGCAGCTCATGGACTATTGTCAGGAGGGCAGTCTCTGGGGACAGTGCTGGGGCAGCATATGCAGAGCCAGCCAGAGTTTGGCAGGGAGCCTGTGCTGGAAGGCAGCAGCACACAGGTGCTCCTCTGCTCCCACTGGGTTCTGGAAATAGCAATTCCTTCATCCAGCTATTGAGCACTCAGCTGCCAGTTCCACCTGTTGCAGGACTGGGCCTCTAAGGAAGTGGGAAGGGGTTTTGAGCCAGTATTAGTTGAGAAGGGCTTAGTCCTGGGTTAGCACATCCAGTCACTCAGCCTTGTGCCTTCAGCCAACTGAACTGTGCCTGGGCTCCCACATCATGCTGTGCCCAGGCAGGAGAGCGTCCCAAAGCACAGTGAGGACACACAGATAGCCCTGCACAGAGCCTGCCTGGGCTGGTCCTGAGCTGGTGCAGAGCCTGGAGATGCTGATGTGCCTCTACTGCTGTGCTCCCCCTGCTTCAGGCCTGGCTGGGTTCTGTTAGCTCAGGTCAGACAGGACTGTCTTTGTTCTGGTAGCACATCCTTGTGAAGTGTGTGTGTGTAGCCTCACTCCCCAAGGCACAGGTGTTCCCTGTGTCTAAGCCAACAAAGTGAGAAGCTGTGGGTAAATTTGGCCTACTTGTTATTCAGCCATAGCTGTTGTCCCCTCAAATGGAGAAGGAGGTTTTCCAGATTTCTGTGCAGTGTTCTCCAGAGGAGCTAACCTCTACACAAGGTGCTGCTGCTGGAATTGGGCTGCTCCTGGCTTAGTCAGACCCAAGCTGTGATGGTCAGTGTGGGTCAGGAGGATGCGAGTCAGTGCACCAGGAGTTCCAGGCTTGGCTGACAGAGAGCTGACTGTACCCACAGTCTGTGAGCTGGCCCAGGCTCCTGGACCCACTGAAGTGTCTGAAGTGGTAACAGTCCACTTCCTGACCTCTGCTGCTGGCATGATTCCCTGTTGAATCAGGCTTGTCTGTGTGCCAGCACTGCTGATGCACAGGCATCCTCCAGCCTGTGGTTTGTGATTCCTGTGTTCTGGTGTGTCCAAAGTCCTGCGGGAATTCAGAATGCAGCCACCAAGTGTTAGAGCAGGGAAAAACTGTTGCCATCAGGCATAAATGCTGGGCAAGCAGCCCTCTTCAGGCAGCTTGTGGAATTGGGTAGGGATTGGATTGTGCTGATACAGGAGAGATTGGTCAGACTGGCACAGGAAAATTGAGCCCTTACACAGGGGAAGTAGCATGTGGTGCAGAGCATACTGCTCTCACAGGGCTCTGCAGTCCCCCTTACCCAAGTGTAACCCACATTCTGTTGTGTTCTGCAGCTGCAGAAAACGACTTCAGAGTTGGAGAAGACAAAGGAGGAGTTAAAAAGCACACAGAAAGATCTGAAGAATGCAGACAAGGAGATCTTGGTGAGAATATCATTCCTCATGGCTAGCTGCCAGTTACTGCAGACTGGTCTGCAGTTGCAAAGCCAGGAGTTATGCTGGCTTTTGCTCAGTGACTAAATTTCCCAGCCTACCTCTGAACTCCACCTGATGCTGATTTATGGAAAAGGGGCAAAGTACATACTGCTAAATCTTTCCGTATCTCATTATCTGCTTTCCCTTTTCCCTCCAGAGTTTGAAGAAGAAGATAGACATCCTGCAGGATACTCTGAAGGTCCCATCTGTAACCAGGGAAACACTCAGTCGGCTAGTCTATGAAAGGTTAGTGAGCTGCATCCTCAGACACGGTACAGGCATGGAGGCGACAGGTTCAAAGCCAGAACTGACAGTTTAACTACCTGAGAAGGCAGAGATGTATTAGGCTGGCAGGTGTTGCAGAAGTATGGCTGTTTTGTTCCTTGTATCCTTTTTCTTGTGGCTGATGAGATGATGTTTGATTTACATGGAAGAAATCTCAGAGGATTTGGGTCAGGAGGGGGTGGAGGACTGGCCTGAGTTTTGAAAAAGTCTTTGTCACTGTGTCCTGACTGGGAAACATCCCTAAAGCTGCTGTTCTTGTTGCTTTAGAATTGGCCCTGTGATGAGCATGCACGTGTGTATGGGGACCAAAGATGTTAGCTAGGCAGAGGAATCTAGCCTGAAAAATGACATCTGCTTTTATTTTCTTGAGGAGCCTATGCCATTACCCCAGTAGAGCAAGCTGGGTTGTGTCCATAGAACAGCAGTGTCAGTGTGGTTCCTGGGCTCTGCGTGCTGCTGTTACAGTGCTCAGCATTTGAGGGGGAGCAATAATTTGTGACACTGAATTTAAACTCTGGAGTTCAGATTGTCCGTTCTTTGATGTGTAAGCAGAACGGGGCTCTGCTCCTGGTGCCAGTGCTGTCTGAGCACTCAGTGTCGTGGGCTGCAGCTCTGCCTTCCCCTGGGTGGCAGGCAGTGGCTCAGTGACTGATGCTTTCCTTGGCCTTGCAGCCCTGCTCCTGTGGAACTGCAGCATCCAAAGCTCCACCGCCCGGCCCACAGCGATGAGATCAATCTGGATGCTACTTACGATGTGGACACCCCTGAACACCAGCCCTGTGCAGCTCCCTTCGGCCCTGCAAAAAGGCAGAAGCTGGATAAAAAGCCGTGAGTTTTCCCTCCTCTTTCTGCTTCTAAAGGAGATCAAAGTCTCACAGCTTTGGAAGTTGCTGTGTGAGATCAGATAGCTCTCCAGCTGCCTGATGGCGTGCTGCAAGCTTTGTCGTCATTTGCTTGGCCTTGTCTGTCCTTGCCAGCTCCACTTGAACAATAAATCTCTGCTGATTTGCTCCTTGGGCTCCTTACAGGCCTCCTGTGGTAAATCTGGCGAAGAAAGTTCTGAAGGAAACAGTGGAGGTAAAAGGATTAATCTTGATTTTTCTATGTCACCTCTTTGATTCTGCTGTTAATAAGCTTGGGATAAAGAATCTATTTTCTCCTTTGTGGCCATAGACCAGTCCATCTATAGAACCAGTCTGTGCTTCAAAGTGTTTTCCTTGATGGTCTCTTAGAAACACTTTCTGCCTCAGGCCTCCTGGAACTGGGCAGAAGGGAGGGTGGGGACCCACATGCTTCTTGCTGATGATTCTGCTCCAGATGTGCTTCACAAACACCACCTGGAGCTGATCACAAGGGCTATAGGTCAGCCGAGGTGACCGTTAGCCCAGGCTTACTAGGAGCAGTGTCCTGCCTCCTGGGCACTATTCCATATAAGCCCCAGTGGGAGGTTGGAAGCTGCTGGTTTTCAACCTGACATGTGGTATGGCAGTAACCATTACCTTAAATAGCTGTCTGTGTTATTGGTGCTGCCTGTATGTGGATTCCATTCAGCAGATTGTGCTGGTTAAAGGGCTTTTCTTGTTATTTTGTGGAACAGAACAGGGCAGATGATCTGGAGGATGATGCTCTTAAAGGACTCTTGCCAGCATTCATCAGGAACTCTGTTCTCTCCAAGAAGTCACCTTCAGGTGGTTTGCTGGGTTCCCACAAGAACATGGGCTCTGTAAGTATGACTGTCCAGTTGGTAAGTGTGCCCAGGGCTGGCACTGCCACCTCTATCCTGAACTGACCCTGAAAGAGGAAGTGAATGAAGCTTTTACCTTGCCACATACAGTGTGTGGAAAATAAATCTTGAAGCACAACCTGGCTACTTCCCAGTCCTGCAGAGCTCTAGGGATGACAGATGCTCATTCCCTTCCTGGCAGCAGACTAAGCAGCTCTCAATGTCCTATTCCTTTGCCTCCTTGGAGCTTAGGGTGTTCTCCTTGTATTCCTCAATCCCAGTGACAAAATCCTAAGCCTTGCTCAGCTTGGCTGAAAAAGTGCCCAATATTCCCAAAGTTTGTTAATACCGGTGGGTCTGTCTTTTTCCAAAAGTGAGGGCTTAGTGCAAGAACTGATTGTTTCCAAGTGGTTTTAACCTCTTTCCAGAAGCTGTGTTCTGCAAGAATCCCCCTTCCCCATAACTAGCATGAAGAGAGGTAGTAGCCAAGGCTCTGTGTGCTGCTCCAGGCTCATTTGTTTCTCTCTCCTAGGTGAGGATGGGCTACGATGGCATGGGAGGCAGAACAAAGTTCATAGAGCCAGTATCCTTTCCTTCAGCTTATGTGGCAGTACTGATGCTGTGGGCATCTCATTGCTGTTCCTTCTCTTTGGTCTCAACAAAAAATGGACTTGGGATCCTCAAGGACTGATCTGATTCTCTCTGAGCAAATCTGAGCTCAGCAAAGGCGTCAAGGACCTGAACTTGCTGAGAGCACTTGTGGTTGGTTCAGAGGAGCACATCGGTTAGAAATCAGTGCGATTTTCAGGGACTGCCTGTGCCCTTGAGATCTTACAGCAGCAGTGTAGCACAGCTACTTCTGGCTGTGTGCCTGCTAGCCCGTGCAGCCAGAGCCCTCATTCCTGCTGTTCCACTGTGGTGAGGAGTGGCTGGGCTGAGCTCACCCCTCCTGGGTGTGGAGCTGCCCCTGCCATGGGAGGCTGCAGGCTCTGCCTGCTCTGCCTTCACCTGCACAATGTCCTGGCTCAGGAGGTCTTGCAACTCAAATAGATGTGCTGTTAAAATGCTGATTTATGTGCAAGGGGATAGCATAGAATCATGGAATCATTAATGTTGGAAAAGAACCCTAAGATCAGAATCCAACCATTAACCCAGCATTACCAAGCCCACCACTACCCATGTCCCTAACCAAAATGTCTGCATGTTTCTTGAACACTTCCAGGGACTTCCACCACTTCCCTGGGCAACCTGTTGCAATGCTTGACCACCTGTTTAATATCCAGTCAAAACCCCCGTTTAGGAAAAGTTCCCTGACATGTGGGACAGGCATGTGTCCGAGCTCTGCTCCTCTGAGAAGGTAGCAAAGCCCTTCCTGTCCTGCAGGGAGTTTTTCCTTGGATACAGATATATGGCTGGGTCCCAGATATATGGTTCAGGCTGCACTGCAGGAGGTGTTGGATCACTTGTGTTCCCAGGGCACTGATCTGTGCTTTCCTTGACAGTTTTACCTCCAGACAAACCTAGCAGAAATCCGTCCATTATCAGTTAGGAGTAAGAAGAAGGTCTCCAGGCCAGCATCTGCATCCCCTCCTGCGTTTTCCTCCAGCGTCAGCCAGGCCAGAATGGACACTTTCCTGCTGTGAGAGCCCTTGACTTCCAGGGAGAGGCTTGGAGGAGGCTGCAGGGCAGAACACATTTGCCCAGAGCCTGGCACGAGGCAATGTGCAGCTACCACTGCCTGGGGTACTGTTTGCAAAGCACTGATGCTGCCTTGTGGGTGAGATGAGCTGTCCTGTGGAGAATCCTGCCCTTGTAGCAAGCTTTTAGAGGCCAAGCCTCTGGGTAATGCCTGGACTGAGTTTCCCTCCTCGTTCTACCATTCCTTCCTCCTTTTTTCATGCAGAATTAACAGGGTTTCCTTGCCTTCTGGCCTCCCTAGAGCTCTGCAGTTGCTGCTGCTTTGGGCTCTTTGGCACCAGGTGGAACTGCACTTCTTGGATGCAGCCACAAGCAGGAGGTGAAGAAAGGGTGTCTGGGATGTCAGTCTGGAGAGCAGCAGGGAGAAGTGACCTGGACCAGCTCCATGCCTGGTGCAAATAGTTCCAAGAAGGCTGACTGGAGGAAGAAGTGTGTAGAGCAACCTGTGTGGCTGTTGAGTGTCTCTATATTCATTATAAAATTACTCAACCACAGGCCTGTTGGGGCTAGGGAGATCCACAGGTGGACTTGGGAGCGCTGTTCCCCTGCCCTGTTTTGTGCCAGGACGTCCAGAGTGGTCTTGCAGGCTTGGCACTGAAACTACTGACTTGGAAGGGAAGTCTTGGGGTGACCTCCTTGGAAGCAGAGATAGTTGTGCTGGTGTGACCTCTGTGCTTGGCATGTGTTGGTGTGAAATTTGTTTATTAATTTCTATTTTGTAATAGGAGTGTAGAGTATTTTTATTATTTTGTAACTGTTCTGCCTTGTGATTAGAGGGTTTGGATTGGCCTGGAGAAGTGCTGAAGAATGGCTCCCTTCAGGGGAAGGGGAGACTGGTGGGGCTGAACCTGTCAGGGTTCTTCAGCTTGGAGCTGTGGAGCAGGAGATCCATGCCTGACACAGGGCTGTCCGAGCTGCAAGGAACTGCTGAGGCACCCAATAAAGCACTCTGCTGTACAAATCTGACCTTTCCTATTTCCAGCTGCTTCAGGTCAGAATCTGTAGTACCTGGAGTGGCTAAAAACATGTTTTTAGAAAATAAAATATATTACTGTGCACACTTGTTACACAACTGGCTTCTGAGCATTTTTCACCCTATTGCACCTCAGCGTGAAGGTCTGAGCTTGGGTGCTGAATGTAGGGTGAATGGATGTGCTCAACCCTTCAGGTTCCTTTGGGGTGCCAGCCCTTGGGAGAGGAGACAGGCCCCTTGTGCAGGGAAGCACAGTGGTGAGATGAAGCCATGGGGACAGTGATGCCCATCCCCAGGGAAGTGAACGAGGCAAAGCCCTGCAGAGCATGAGCTGTCTCACTGCATCACCCGAGGCTCACTGCAGAATTAAGTGGAATGGGGGGAGGGTTTGGGCGAGCCAGGAGAGGGTTCAGAGGGCTGGGAGGAAGAGCTTGGGGAGAAGGAAGGGGGACTTAAGCAAAGTGCATTCTGCAGAGGAGAAGCCTGGGAGAGGGTCTGCAGAGAGCCTGCTGTGTGCTGTCCTTGTTCCTTTGAGGTGGGTATCAAATGTCTGTAAAATGTGGGACTTGTTCTGCATCTCTCCAGTTCAGGAAGACCCTTTTAAGAAGGCAGCAATGAAGGTCTGGTTCTGGGGCTGATGGGGGACGTGGGCTTCCATGTCGGGGTGCTGGAGAGCAGACTCAGCCTGCACTGGAGGGGTTGAGAAGGGTTTTTGGGACTGTTTTGACACCATGGCAAGTTTAAACTGAGGTTTGAGCACCTTCTCTGGGCACCACCTGCACCAGCACTGTTGCTGGCAGCTGCTCCAACTTCTGCTGCGTTCAAAGTGGATGCTTTGAGTCTCCTGTGTTTGGGGGAACACATCACCTCAGGAAAAAAAATCCAAACAAATCAAACTTTTTTTGTGAGTCCTGGCCTCTTCCATCCCCTCCTGCACTCTTATTTTCCATGGATTTATTGCTGCTGGGTTGTTTCTGATGTGCAATAAATGAGAGCAAAAACACGTCTGTTGCCCCTGCCCAGAATTGAAGCTGTTTTGTTCTCTTGCTCAGTGCTTTCATATCCTCCAAAGCTCTTTTATTCCCATATTACACTTTTCATACCGCACACTTACTCCTTGGGGGAAAGCAGTGACCTTCAGCAGCAGCATCCCCTTCCCTGGGCTGGGAATACAGAGGAGGACAAGGGCTGAGGTCCCTTGTTCCTAGGGCTTGCTGGAGCCGGCTGCTCTTTCGATTCGCTCCGAGGTGAGGCTGGACCCAGTTTCACGTTTATTTTAGGATTTAGCGCGTGTGTGTTGACTCACAGCCCATAAAAAGCAGCCGCTAGCACAGCCCGGGCTCGTCTCCGGCAGGGCGGGCGTGCCTGGGGGCAATTTTTAGTCCCCCCTTGGAGGGGTCCGGAGCCGCAGGGTGGCAGCAGGGGACCGGCGGTGGCAGCGCGTCCCTCCGCCCACCGGCACCGCTAATTACCGCCTCTCATTAACGGCAGGTGGCGGGAGGGAGCCCCGGCGGTGCTGGGCGCGCTCCACGGGCACCGCTGATCTCTGACACCATGGGCAGCCTCTGACCTCAGACAGACAGAGCGTGGCCATTGGCTGAGCGCTGAGTGACCTCGTGGGAATGGAGGTGCTGGTTGACTGAAACTGGAGCTTAGGGACAGTGTGTGAGCCCATTGGTTTGGCCTTGTGACGTCATAGAAGAGCAGTAGTGGTCACTGGCTGGGCTCTGGGTGACCATGTGAAGGACAGAGTGGTCATTGGCTGAGGCTCCATTGCCTCATCAGCGAGCCTGTGACCTCACAGGGAAGCGTGCGCTCATTGCTTGGCTGAGAGCGACTGCCATGATGTCATTAGGTAGCAGGGTGCTCACTGGACAGTCCCATGTGACACTGCAGGGCTGCCTGTGACCTTGCAGGAAGCAGGACAATCACTGACTGTCAGAGTGTGACATCACAAGGCAGCGCATGATGTCACAATAGCGCAAGACACTTATTGGCTGGCAGGGTGTGATGTTCTTGGGCAGCCCATGACATCATGAGGGATGTGGGTGCTTATTGGCTGACATGGCGTGATGTCCTGGGGCAGCCTCTGACATCATGGAGAAGGCAGGTGCTCATTGGTTGTCAGGCTGTGACTTCCAGGAGCAGCACGTGACTTCATGGAGGAATGGATGCCTCATTGGTCAGTGCTGTGTGACATCCTACAGCAGCCCGTGACCTCATGGCTGAGCGGGCACTCATTGGCTGTTGGGTGTAACCTCATGCGGGACTGCGCGCCCATTGGCCGCCGGGCCGTGACGTCACGGCAGACGGGCCGCTCATTGACGGCCAGCGCGGGAGCTCTCGTGGCGCCGCCTGGCGGGCGCGAGCGCTGGCGCTGCGCGGCGCCGATTGGCCGGCGGGCGGGGTGGGGCGGGGCCGGGGGGCACGTGCCGGCGGGGCCCCGCGGGGCGGGCGGCGATTGGTCGGGCGAACGCGCGCGTGCCCGCGGCGCGAGCGGGCGCGGGGGTGGCGCATGCGCGGCGCGGCGCGGGCGGGCGGCGATGGCGGCGCGGGGTTGATGGCGGCGGCGGGGGCGGCGCTGCGCTGAGGGAGCGGCCCCGGTCCCGGTCCCGCCCGGTCCGACATGGGCAACGAGGCCAGCCTGGAGGGCGGCGGCGACGACGGGCAGCTGCCGCCCGCCGCCGCCGCCGCCGCAGGAGCCCCGCCGCCGCCCGCCGCCGCCGCCGCCGCGCCGCCTTCAGCACCGGGCGGCGGCGGACAGCTCCCGCCCGCCGCCGGGCCCAGGTCAGAGCGCGGGGCGGGGACCGGCGGGAGGCGCGGGGTCGGGCGCGGGCTGCGGGGGCTGTGAGGGCGCGGGACACGGCTGGGTGGGGGTGTGGGCACAGGTGCGTAGGGGCGGTGGTGCAGGTGTGCGTGGGGGGCACGGCTGTGTGGGGACACGAGGGCAGCAGGTGCAGGGGTGATCGGGGCCGGGGTGAGCGGGGCCGGGGTGCGGTGGGTGCTGATGTGGTGGGTGCAGGGGTTCTGGGAGGTGCCGTGGGGTGCAGGTCTGTGGGGCAGCTGCAGGCAGGTGAGACAGGAGTGCACACGGAGTGGAGCCGAGGGCACAGGCGGGGCGACTCTGGGGTGTGGGCAGCAGGGAGAAGGCGGGTGAGGCAGGTGCAGTGGGGCTCAGGGAGGTCATGGAGGCACCCGAGACAGGTCACTGCTGGAGGGTGCAGCCCCAGCGAAGCTGGCAGCTCCAGGACACCCGTGGGTGCTGGGGAGGGCAAAGGTGTAGCTTGGGCTGGGTGTGGGACAGGGATGGGAGAGGGATGGAGTGCCCGGGGAGGAGCGTTGTGTTTGGGGGCCAGGAGAAAGCGGAATGCTGCCCGGTGAGCAGAGGTCCAACAGCAAGGGGAGAGGCATAAGGAGAAGGGATGGTGGTTCAGGGTTGGTGGGTCTGGTCAGGATGAGGGGATGATGCCTGGCAGCAGACGGCTGAGAGCACTGGGGCATATGAGCACCCCAAACGTCGCCACACCAAATGTGACCACTCCCAAACGTGGCCACCCCAAGTGGAGCCAGCACCAAACAGGAAAGGTCGTTATGTAACAGGAGGGACATGCAGCCCTGCCAGGAGTCATCGGTGCAAAACCTCGCAGGGAACTGCACCGAGCTGTTCTCCTTCTGCCAGGCAGCGCCAGCTGGGAGGGAGATACTTTGGAAGAGAGTGTGGGATAAGAGATATTTCTTAAAAAAAAAATTAAAAAAAGCCAATCCTAAAACATACTATGTGAAAAAATAAAGACAAGGAGCAGAAAGTTGCATGGAGGGATGTGGGGAACTCCGTAGGTGGTTTGCCCTCAGTGTGTGGCCAAGGCAGTGGCATTCTGTGCTCTTTTGCCTCGCCTGGGCAGTGATGAGCGCTGCTGGTCTTGCCAGTCGTGTTGCTTCAAACAGGGAAAATCCGGGCAGGAGGCTGCAGTCTTGCCTGGCAGTGGGCTCCGTCTTGCTGGGCTGCAATCGCTGCTCACAGGCAGCACCGTAGCATCCAGTGGGATTCAGGGATGCTACAGGGCAGCCAAGCTGTGGACAGGCTTCTGTCTGCAAGATCCCTGTGAGCTTTCATATGGGGAGTGTGAAAAAAATACCTCTGAATGAAATTGTGCTTGGTTTCCTTCACGTTTTTCTTGGTTTCCCTTGGTAGAGAGTCACAGCCCCTCTGCTTTGGATTCTGCCAGTGAAAAGTTGTTTGTTGCTGTTTGAACAATTTAAAATTAAATCCTTGTGGGGCTGTTTAGGCTGCTGTAACGAGAGGAGCTGAAGAAGCCATGCAGGTCTGCTGTCTGTCCGATTTTGGCACTGCTTCCCCATTACTGCCCAGTGTCTGTGTTTGCTGTTGTGCAGCACTGGGGGTTCCAGGGGCTTTTAGGGTCCTGGAGCACACGGGGCTGGTGGGTGGAGGAGCAGAGTCTGTAGCACTGGCCATCCACACTCCTCTCCTGCCAGAAACACCAAGTTATTTTTTCCAGCCCTCACGTACTGAGCTGATGCTCCTGTGCCTCCCGGGAAGCTGCTGCTGGGGAGCTGCCCTGCCTTGCAATTAATTAACGCAATTAAAGAGGTGGGCCAAGTGGGGCTGTGCCATGAGCAGCAGTGGGATGGGGATGATGCTGAGCTCTGCCAATGTTTAAAACCTAAGCGTGGGAGGGGTGTGGGGGGCTGAGATGACTCTGGGGGATTTTAATTCAAGGTAGCAAAGTGGCAATGAAAGGAAATCAGGTCTCGAGAAGAAAGTCGCTTTTGTGAGGTGCAGGAGTGGGCACATAAGACAGACCATATGTTGTGAAAGGTTCAGCAGAGCACAGGATGTGCTGGCCAAGCAATGAGTGTGCAGTGCAAAAGGTGCTGCTCCAGAAGTCTCAAGTGGCCAGAGAAAATGAGTTTCTCTCAATATCAGAGCAATTTTATTCCCTCTGAATTAAGTAACCTAAATCCACATGTAAGCCACTGAAAATCATAGTAGTATGACTTTTCTGTGTCATTTTTCACAGTTTGCTTTGTG